GGCTGCAGTAAAAAAATCATAATTCTCGTGGAGGGAATCTAACAAGAGAGCAGAATCAGAGAGACCGAACACAATAGTATTATCTTTTCCACCAATCAGATTGGTGGGGGGAAAAAAAGGAAAATAGGAAAAAATAGGGGGGGAAAGGGGGGTGGGTGTGGAGGCAAAAGAAGAGAAGCCATTTGGACTGAGAGGAACAAACATGCATCTAAAAGTCTATATTAATGGAAGAGAATATTTGTAGCTCAAAGTTGAATTGTGGGGTCCTTTGTGCTCTCTGAGCTTGGCGGTTTTCTTGCAGACATTCTATTACAATTTAGTTGGTGTTCATGAAGTCAGCCCAGAAGACATGATGAAACACAGAGGCAAACTCAACCATAGTTTCAATGGGGAAACTGTAAGCATCCTAGACCAAGCCAAGTCCAACAAGGCTATAGAATTCCTGAAAGTCTGACACTCAGAGAAATTGGCCATTGACAGGCACATAGAGATAAACAGCATTTACATACTATTCAAAATTGACAATCAAAAAGGCAAAAAAGGAAACAAAAAGACCAAAGCACCTTCTCATCAGTAATCAGCACCCAGATGAGCATAGATTAACAGCAAGATTAACAGTAGACCAACAAAGTAAAGAAAACACCAATCAAGGAACCATCAAAAGACAAGCTAATAGTAAACAGCCTAATCAACGAACCACCATGAGAATTCCCGCCAAGACTGACAGGGCAAACCACTAGTGTATAAAATGAGAACAAACCCCATTCCATTCTAGCACTGATGATGTTACATAGATTGGTAATTAAACATTTGCAAGAAAACAATCAAGCTCAAAGAGCACCAAGGACACTACAGTTTATATTAAGTTGCCCTGGCAGCACAGTTTTAATATCTCAACGGAACTGTTTCTCTCAAGAGCCAACATCAAAGACCCTGATATTATTTAGGGTCTATTGAAGTATTGAGGTTGCTGAAAGCTCTTCTTAAAGTTATCTTGAATATCTTTAACAAAGTATTTTCAAAATCCCAGCTTTTCTAAAATGATTGCTAAATTCAACACTAGAAAACACCCCATTGCAGAAATGGAAGACAAACCATTTGTCCAACTTCCATGAGTTTTATGTTCACTCATTACTAGGTAACTAGTACAACTGTATGGAATCCACCTGAAGTCCCTCAAACCCATGTTTTAGTCTAAACCAGGGGTGAAATCCAGCAGGTTCTGACAGATTCTGGAGAACTGGTAGCGGAAATTTTGAGCAGTTCAGAGAACCAGTAGCAGAAATTTTGAGTACTTTGGAAACTGGGAAATACAACCTCTGGCTGGCCCCAGAGTGGGGTGGGAATGGAGATTTTGCATATCCTTCCCCCAGGAGTGGGGAGGGAATGGGGATTTTGCAGTATCCTTCCCCTGGAGTGGGGAGGGAATGGAGGTTTTGCAGTAACCTTCCCCCAGGAGTGGGGAGGGGATGGGGATTTTGCAGTATCCTTTCCCTGGAGTGGGGAAGGAATGGAGATTTTGCAGTATCCTTCTCCTGCCACGCCCATAGAACTGGTAGTAAAAAAAAAATAGATTTCACCACTGGTCTAAACCCTAAAATCCAGTGTCATTGTTCAGGTTAATGTTCTGCTTTCCTCTTGATTAGATTCTTAGTATAACATCCTTATTCTCATTTTTATGCCTTTCATAATTGTGATTGAGCCCTGGGTCATCTTTCTCTTCTCTCTTTCTGCTCAATCTCAACACCCTCATTAGGAGCAAGGCAGTTAAGAAAGAATTTGCAACAAATTACAACAAATTACATCACTGACCTGCTTTGTTTCATTGAATAAAGCATAATCAGTTTTTATGTATCGCATACATTCATACGGTTCATACGACTTGCAAGCCAGGAGGCTGTTTTTTTATAAATATTTAGCTCTCCTCTCTCTCTTGAATCCTTCAAAACGTTAAACAACTTAACTAGGAGTTTTAAAATATTTTTACTATCTAGTTTGCCCTTCTTGATTAAAAAATAATCATATAATGCCTCTAATAATCTTATCTCTATGGAGCTAAGAAAGTATTATAGGGGGAAAAATCAGTTATGGGGAAATAGTATGAAAGTGAGGAATTAGACTGAAGTTTACAAATGTGATGTCCATAGATGTCCATCTCATCCTTGAAATCCATAGATGGTATACACAGAACCCCTGAATTAAATAAAATTAATTTAGGAAATCCTGAAGATATCATAAGACTTCATTCTTTTTTTAAAAAAAGTTTTTTATTTTTATTTCTCATAAACATACATAAATGTACAATCTCTTAGCCATTATTAATCATACATATTGTTTTTTAACTTTCATATTAGTTCATTCTTCATCCTAAAAAATTAAAGAATATTCAGTGTTGCTCTTCTACCATTCCATATTTCCCTTTTTTCACAACAACCCTTCCTCTCCTTCTCCCCTCTTTCCCTTCCCTCCCTTCTTCTATCCTTTTCCACTTTATTCTTTCCTCCTCTCCTTCCCCATCTCTCCTTCCCCTTTCTTTCCCCCACTCCTCCCCTCTTCCTCTCTTTCTAACCCTCTCTCCTACTCTTATTTCCCCTCCCTTTCTTCCTCACCTTTTCCCTTCCTTCTCATGAACATTCTTTTTTTTAAAAAAGTTTTAAAATATTTTACAAACAAATTCCCCCCCTTCTCCCACCCCTGAGCATTCTTGAATATTCTCAAGTGATAACACATAAAATCTCAAATTCCCAAAAGACTGGGATTGTGAAACTGTGTGCATTTTGGAAAGGCTGATAAACAATAGATTAAAAATGGACCTATTTCTCACCACAAAACCTAAATAATTTAATCCATATCATTTAGTGCTGCTAGGAATGCATCTGTCTGTCTTTCTGGTTTGGACAATGCTGCTGAGCCAGCATTTTAGAGATAGCTTTATTCTGCATGGAGCAGAAAACATACCCAAAGATTGAGGAGAAGCAGTAAAAATGGTAAAGAACAGGAAAAAACAGTCCAACTTTTTATTGTCTCCTTTTAGGGATTGTTCTCTCCTCACTGGTCTTTATGCCTTTCCTTTGCTTTCCCAGATGTTTACCCACCGTAAGACAGACATAAAACTGTTGGAATATTCATAACTGGGAAGACATGGTAACAAGGTCAGCCAATGAATAGGCAAAGCAATAGGTCAGCCAATGGGGACTGTTTAGAAACAGAAACTAAAGTAAGAAGTCTGGGCGTGGTTTAGACCTGCAGCTTTAAGCTCTGATTCTGATTCTGTGCTGGGCTTGCTTGCTTGCTCTGAACTCTGAACTGAAACTAAGAACTGTTCTCTCCTCTGCCTGTAACTTCTATCACGTTAGAAGAATCAGCTATTGGTATTGTACATTTATCTTCATGTGTTATTATGTATATAAAGAAGTTAATGAATCCTGCTGCATTTGTCTGCCTGTGTGTGCTTTCTGGATTTGATTTTGCAACAAACTCTGATAAAGACAGACATAATAAAACAGACAGTCTTTAGAACCCCCCTTCCACATTCACATCTTTGACTCTAACGTAGATCCTTCATTTTTCTTTCCCCCTCCCATGAGTCTATCATTGTTGCTTTGATGCTACAATAATCCAAGCAACTGGCTACTCCTTCATTCCATTGTAGATCCACCACTGGCAATCAAGAATGGATGATTCAGATTCCCGAAAGCAAAAGAGTAACTGTAAGGATCGCCTCTCCTTCCAACTTAAGAAAGTACGAACTCTTGAAACCTAGTTGTTCAAAAGGATTCTTTTATTAAGCAGAAGTGAAAGCCATCCAGCTAAAGCACAATCTGAATGCCCTTAGGCAAAGCAGTAGGATTAAAGTGGTAGAGACCCCTCCCTTTAGGTCAGAATGCAGATTTCAGCCAATACACAAGTGTGAAGATGTTTTCTTTACTATTTCCTTTGAGAACCCGAACAAACATGCATTCCCACCACTTCCCTTTAAAGTGAGACAACCCACATGGCTATCATATAAATTCCTGCAGGTAAAAGGAATCTCAGGCTTGCTTGGTGCCAGGATATAGGTTGTAAAATATCTGATGACACAGGCCATGCTAGTAAATCGTCCCCCCTTCCTTCACTTGAATGGCAATATCACTTTTAGGGATCTGACAGTAACATTCAATGAATTTTTGCACTTTGTCCAAAATGCCTAAACAAGGAATGGGTGGTGAGGCATGGATGTCCACTGACAGATGTAGGGATGGAACAGAGAGATGCTGGTAGGAAAGGTGGGGAAAACATGGTGGCCAAGAAACTTTACTCTATTGTCTTTATGGGACATTGTGGAAGGGAACAAAGGAAGCGCTGACTATCTGAGAACATAGTCAGCTGAGGATGAAATAGACATACAGGACAGTGACCAACTGATGAGTGGGAGAGGGCATGCTCAGCTTGATAGCCAATCGGAACTGGGGATGCTGCTAAATTGGAATGAACAATGGCAGACTAATTGCTTGGAAGGGGGAAGGAGAGAGGAAGGAAGGGCAGAGAGAAAGGGCCATTCCATTTCATGGTGTGTTGAGGCCAAAGGTATGGAGACAGGCCATCAATTGTCCAGCCCAATTTCCAGAGGCCCATTATTGATCCTTTCATTTGCTGCTGTGCCCAACTTGTCTGACCTTTTCTTAATATACCTGCCAGCAGCAAGGATTTTTTTGTTGTTGTTGTTATGAACTGTAAATTTGCTGCTGGCGCATACATGCTTCATTATAGATTGATTTGAACTCTCAATTATATTACTACCAGCACTGGGTGTTTTAAAATAAGAGTTTCTAAGCTCACCTCTGCCTAGAAGTGACAGCTTTCTTCTCATAAAACCTGCTTTCCACAATCTCTGATTTTTATTTAGATGGTCAATCACACAGATCTTAGGTGCCCCTCCCCAAAACAGTGTCTAATGTGAGGCAAAATGATAATGATTTGATGCAAGACTTGAGAGTAAACATAATAACTATGTTTAACTATTTTAACTGTTTAAACTATTTACTTTTTGGGCAAGTTCAGCTTGTAGTCTGGGGAAATATCTGCACTCCTGCTTTAGAACACGTCCTTCCACTACAGACTCTCTTTCCCTTATCCTCAAGAGAAAACCCTATAAAAGATAACAAGTACAGCATCAGCAGAGACCTACTGCAGATAATTGATACAGACAATAGGGAGTCTTGACTTTTCAGAAATCAGAGTGATCTCTGTAATCAACTAAATTCAGGGTTTCTTTAGAATCTAATGTTTCTTCATTTAATTAATTACATTTTTTTAAAAAAAAATTCTAATGGCCATCTGAAGTAAAGGAGGGAGAAAATGGTTATTTAGGTTTCCTTATAAGACCAGGACAAGTGTCTTTTTTTTCCCCCTCGCTGAAATAACTTTCTTTGTATGGATGAGAAGGAAGAACAGAACAATGCCAAAAGAATTGGGAATAGGATATTCCCAATGGCAAATTAAACATAAACAAACTATGTTGATGGCCAAGCTTTACGTCAGATGAAGTGACATTAAAGTAACACCTTATCCTAGCCACCATCTTGTTTCCACACATGAAATGGAAAAAAGTACCTTTACATCAGTGGTGGGTTTCAAATTTTTTTACTACCGGTTCTGGGGGTGTGGCTTGGTGGGTGTGGCATGACTTGTGGGCATGGCTTGGTGGGCATAGCAGGGGAAGAATACTGTAAAATCTCCATTCCCACCCCGCTCTGGGGGAAGGATACTGCAAAATCCCCATTTCTTCCCGATCAGCTGGGACTTGGGAAGCAGAGAAAAGATGGGGGTGGAGCCAGTAAGAATTTTTACTACCGGTTCTCCGAACTACTCAAAATTTCCACTACCGGTTCTCCAGAACTGGTCAGAATCTGCTGAAACCCAACTCTGCTTTACATCATCTTCTTAGAAAATAGTTGAACCCCGTCTACTGCTACTATTTATTTCACCTTTTGGAAGGCTTTGTGTTTTCCTGCTTGCCAGCCTTCTGAAGTTTAACAAATATCTGTAAATTGGGAACAACCTTTGTCCTTGAGTGATTTCACTCACCAGATTGTGTCATATATTGTCATCCCACCCACTCCTGTGTTATGGACGTATTCCATGATAAAGCTGTTATTTCCCCTTTAAAATAACATTTGACATGGAAATAACCTGTTCTATAATTTGAATAAATTAATTCTGTTATATTAGCCTTACAATAAAGTAGAATTAGTTTGTCTGATCGTGTTTCCTGTCTGGTCAGTGGCAGGATTCAAATAATTTAACAACTGGTTCTCTGCCCTATTGACCGGCTGGGTGGGCATGGCCACGGTGGGTGTGGCCAGGGGGTGTGACAGGCAGCACTTGGCCTCCTGCGGGACCCACCTGGGAGCAAAATTGGGCTGTGGGGGGGACGCACTAGTAAGCCTCCCTGCAGCCTCCTGGAGGTGAAAACGGATCACGGTGGGGCACACTGCGCCCCATTGCACCCCATTTGGGGCCTAGAAGGCCTCCCTGCCCTAACCTGGGAGCCAAAATGGGGCACATGGGGACTCCTGAAAGGGGCGGGGCAGGAAGGGGCAGAGCCAGACAGCAATTTAACTACAGTTCTCCCGAACTGGCCCGAACTGGCTGAATCCCTCCATTGTGTCTGGTGTATGTAGAAAGGCTGACATCAATCCTGCAAGTCTGAAAGTACAAATCTGGAGGTGGGGGTGTCTGGATTTTTTTTTTTTTTTCTGTTCTTAGAGAATTGAGTTACTTTTTTATCCTCTTGTGCAGCTGTGGACAATGCCCTTTCTCAATTGATCATTCTCCAGGCAGCCTCTCTTCCCATCTCCCAAGATTGTTTCCACATACCATTACAAATTATAACACCTTCAAAACATTTTGATCCTAAAGGTTTGCTGAAGAGAATCGTAGAGTTCCAGTGAGACATCTTTGTTTTCTTGGCTTCTGCTTGTGGAAGAGCCTGCTAATGTTCGTTAGGCTCATTAACACTCACTTCACCTAAAGCTATATAATGGGCAACACTGTGAATTTTCAGTTTATTGAGGAAACATGTTGGTCTTTTATTTTCTTAACTTCAGTCTTGAGTGACTTGGTCTTTTTCTATCAGGATTTATACATTTGCATATGTATGTACGTATGTCTAATTCTCCTCCCTAGAGATCCTTGGCAGCCAGTGTTGAATAACATATGTAGAACTGTGGTAAGAATACATCCATATTTTAGAAATATTTGCTGCCAGACGAGAGACATGGGAGATTACAACAGATGTTGACAAACACTATTGTTGATCCCAGCAGGCGAGATTGCAAGAATTGAGTGATCTGTAGCCTAAAGACATGTTCAAAAATAGACTGTCAAAATATTTTGGGATCCACTGTATATCATGATGTATCTCATGATTATTCTGATTGGAAAAGCTTCCCAGTCCATGTCAAATATAGTAACAGAGTGCCTTCCTTTGAGGAAAAAAAAAAGGATTGTGACATCTAGATCAAGAGTACAAGGCTTGAAACACAAGACAAAGAGCAGAACAGGGTAATAATTTCACAAGATCAAAATGAGCGTGTGAAAAGATGTAGACCTAGTATGCTTAACAACTTTCCAATATCCCAGAAGACATTCTAGCACAACAGCTTGTCCATAAGATAGAACAATGAAAGTCTCAAATGCCTAAAGTCATTCTGATACTCGTGCTCTGGTTCAGCTTCCTCCTTTTAAATATAACTTTTACCAACACTTGTCAGCACAAAATCAAACATTTTAAACAAAGGTTGTCAAAATATGACACAATATAATAACCCCTTTAACTTTAAAAATTAAAGAAGAGACTGAAGTGCAGAGTTGGCCAAATAATGACTGTTTTTTTTTTAAGAAAATTACACAATTAAATGTGGTTTTCTTGACTCAAAATACAAGCACAAGGGAGTTCTAAGAAAAAAAAAGATTTATAGACATGAAAGATAAAATCATAAACACTACTAGAAGTATATAAGTGGTAGAAACTGCAGTTTATTTCCCAACTTGTAGAGAGAAATAGAAAACTATTAATTCTGATTTAACACCACACAGAACTGTAATTCTAATGAAAATTCTGTCAAAATAGCAGTTTTCTGAAGCAAAATTTACTTTAATTTACTTACTTAGACTTTCTCATTTATTTGCTTATTTAATATGCTATCTATCTCACTCTGCAAAGCAACTCACTCTTTCTCATCTTTTTAGAGGTTTCATTGTAATATGAGGTTGCTGAGGAGGATGATAAACTCCTTCTCTCCAGCGGGTCTAGGACTTTTAGTCTCTGACTTTTCATTCTCCTCAGGCGTTTCTCCTCGGGCGATTCTCCCCAGACTTATCCCCTCAGCTGGCACACCTCCAGTCATTTGCCTTGGGGAATAGGCCACCGGCCTCTTCGTCCCAGACCCTTCGACACGGCCCATTCGCAGAAAGAGGGTTGGTCCTGGGTGTTCCGCCCTCTGTGACAGTTAGACCCCAACCAATTGGTGTTAAGTCCTCCTGGTGTTACGACCTCCCCCGTAATCATCACTGTTGCTGCCCTGCTCTAATTGGCTAAGACGCAAGCAGGCTCTTAGCGGGAAAACTCAGCTCTCCTATTGGTTTCCACCACCTGACAGGCTGCTATTTAAGCAGCTGTCAGACGGTAACCTGTTGTCAATTGTTGTACACATTGTGTTGCCTTGTTTCCTAAGTTAGCTCTCTCACAATAAAGACTTGTGTTAAGACAAGACAAGCCTCCATGTCCTGCCTTGTTCTCCGGCTAGAACATTGGCGACGAAGGTGGGATTGTTCTGAGGCATCAGCTGTTGAAGTCACAATCAAAGAGCTGAGGCAACTCCAGCTAAGGGTGCCTTAAGTCACGAGCGACGAGACATCGTTAAAGGCACACAATTCCAGCATCACATTGACCATGTCCACTTTCTTGCTAGAGGGGGTGTAATAGAAATCCAGCCAAAGGAGAGAGGTGTAAAAGAATTTGCCAAAATGCCTGACTTCCTTCCTTCCTTCCTCCCTCTCTCTCTCTTCTCCCCCCCCACAACCAATATAGGGACACCGTTACTGAGCGGGCTAAAAGCCTCCCTCCCTCCCTTCCTTCAACCAGTTAGTTAACCAAGTCTGGAAGGGTCCAATAGAAGAGAATTTTTCCTTCCTTCCTTCCTTCCTTCCTTCCTTCCTTCCTTCCTTCCTTCCTTCCTTCCTTCCTTCCTTCCTTTTATTACACCCCCTCTAGCCAATTGGTTGGGGTCTAACTGTCACAGAGGGCGGAACACCCAGGACCAACCCTCTTTCTGCGAATGGGCCGTGTCGAAGGGTCTGGGACGAAGAGGCCGGTGGCCCATTCCCCACGGCAAATGACTGGAGGCGTGCCAGCTGAGGGGATAAGTCTGGGGAGAATCACCTGAGGAGAAACGCCTGAGGAGAATGAAAAGTCAGAGACTAAAAGTCCCATTCCATCTCCAGCCTTGTTTTACAGACTTCTACCCTTCTTTTTCTTCTTTTTCTCCTACCTCCAGCAAAGAAAGACAGAACTCTTGTGGGTGACCAAAATACATTCCCCACTCATGAGTTTTACCTGTACAGAAGGGATGTCCATTAAGAAGGTCTGCATTTGTCCAGGTGGGAATGGAACTGTATATACAGCAGCCCACAATTGATTTTCAACCAGTAGGTCATGCACAACTGTGGAGAGTCATGTCAGGATTGGTGGTGGGGAATGGCTGAGTGACAACTTGTGGACAGATGTTTAGGAGTCTTCCAAGAGAAACCTGTGAAAAACAGTTGATGTAAGTTCTCATTTAGAATTTTTAAGCACATGCTTTAATTGGAATCTGTGGTATTTCATTCATTCTGAATTTTCAAATAAAATCACTGTAGGAGAAGGCAGGTGTAAAGAAGATGTGAGATATTGAAATTGCTCAAAATGTGATATAAGTTTAAAAAATAATAATCAGGTTGAAAGATGCTGCTCCCTAGGTGGCTTTGTCTTGATTCTTATTATCAAGATATTACACAATGCTGTCAGGTCCAAAGAACCAAGAATGACACATGAAATTACTTCTGAATAGTATTTTATTATTGTTTACCTGTTAACAGAATCTTGCCAGACTAAAACAATTATCTGCATAGCTAATACTCTGTGAACTTCGGGGAAGGGGGCATCCATATTTTCTGCCTGCCTGCCAGTCATTCCAGTCTCTGTTGTCTGTTTGCCCTCTGGGAAATAAAAGGTAAAGGTTCTCCTTGCACATATGTGCTAGTTGTTCCCGACTCTAGGGGGCGGTGCTCATCTCCGTTTCAAAGCCAAAAAGCCAGCGCTGTCCGAAGACGTTTCCGTGGTCATGTGGCCAGCATGACTAAACACCAAGGGTGCACGGAACACTGTTACCAAAGGTGGTCCCTATTTTCTACTTGCATTTTTCATGTGCTTTCGAACTGCTAGGTTGGCAGAAACTGGGACAAGTAACGGGAGCTCACCCTGTTATGCGGCACTAGGGATTCGAACTGCTGAACTGCTGACCTTTCGATTGAATAGCTCTCCCTTTTCTAACTCTGGACTATATTCCACCACAGATGCTAGCTGAAGCTCCATAAGTGAAACCACTCTAAACCAACTTTTAAAGCCAGCTGCTAAAATAGTGGTTATTGATTTGTCAATGTTGAATTATAAGTCATTAGTGAGTTCTGAGATCTATTTTGCATGGCTAGCATTGTATTGTTAGTTTGTGAATTTTCTGGAAAGTTCCATTGATGACTCCACACACAAAGACAATCTCAATTTTCCTGAATAACAATGCCAAGTTAATGGTACAGTTAACTATCTATTTATTGCAATGTTCCCCAACTTGAGAATGTGCAGTTAGCAGTTTCCAGGCTTTTTTAGCTAGTATTTATTTTATTTTTTTATTTTATTTCAAATTTATATACCGCACCTTCTCCCAAGGGACTCAGGGCGGTGTACAGCCAGATAAAAACATAGAATACAAACATTAAGAACAATTAAATATATATATATATTAATTTGGCCCCAGTTTAAAATGACAAACCAATTAAAAATTAAAAATTTAAAAATATGTTAAGCCAGCCCGGCTTGATGAAAAAAGAAAGTTTTAAGGGCACGGCGGAAGGCACCGAGGTCTTGGATTCTCCTTATCTCAGGGAGCAGCTGGTTCCATAGAGTAGGTGCCCCCACAGAGAAGGCCCTCCCCCTGGGGGTCACCAGCCTACATTGTTTGGCTGATGGCACCCCGAGGAGGCCCTCTCTGTGGGAGCGCACGGGTCAATGGGAGGTCGTCGGTAGCAGCAGGCGGTCTCGAAGATACTGTAACTAGGTCCTATGCCATGGAGCGCTTTAAAGGTGGTAACCAAACCTTGAAGCGCACCCGGAAGACCACTGGGAGCCAGTGCAGCTCACGCAGGAACGGTGTTATGTGGGAGCGCCATGCAGCTCCCGTAATTACCCGCGCGGCCGCATTCTGGACCAGTATGTGGGTTGGTCAGACAGTATTCTCTATTTTGAACTAAAGTGCCAAAGTGGATTCTTGGATCATGATGGTTTATTTAGAGTTATTTGGGGTTTAGTTGATGCCTCAAGAATCTTTTCCAAATATGAACAGGAGCTCTCAGGAAAAGTAACTGAATCTCACACTTGGAAAGTAACTGTTATTTTGTTTTCTTATGAAATTTAAAGTGCCTGTTTATTCTCATGCTACCTATTTATTAACATGCTACCAGATTGCAGCCTCTTGTAAAGATGAATGCAAATAGAGAAGAACCATCCTGTGCATCAAAGAATAAATATAATCCATTGAAGTCAATGCTTTGCACCATTTCTTTTATCTCCCCCCCCCCCTGAGTTTTATGTGTATCACAAATTGAGGGGGTATGTAAGCTGCAAGGGTATTTATGACAACGTCAAGGTGAGTGCCTGCATTTAATCTCAGATAATTCTATTTGTGGGCATCTCATCTATTTCATCACATCAGAGAAATACCGTTATTGCTCACAATCAGAAAATATTACCATGCTTCTGCAAACATTCCATATACGGTTGTCTACAGTAAAGCAATTTTATAACTCCTAGTCCTTGGCCACTGCAAACTGAAGCAAGCTGAACAGTATGACCTTAAAAACTATGCCAATTGTATGTTTATTTTAGGGTTGTTGTTTTATTAAAAATGACAGAATTATAAAAGGAGAAATATTGATATTGTTTCCTGATTGCTTATTTGTACCCTATGACTATCATTAAGTGTTGTACCTTATGATTCTTGATGAATGTATCTTTTCCTTTATGTACACTGGAGCGATGCACCAAAGACAAATTCCTTGTGTGTCCAATCACATTTGGCCAATAAAAAATTCTATTCTATTCTATTCTATTCTATTCTATTCTATTCTATTCTATTCTACTCCTCTACTCCATTCCATTCCATTCTATATTTTCCATTCCATTTCATATTTTCCATTCCATTCGATTCTACTCTACTCCATTCCATTTCATTCCATATTTTCCATTCCATTGCGTTCTACTCCACTCTACTCTACTCTACTCTACTCCTCTACTCCATTCCATTCCATTCTATTCTGTTCTATTCTATATTGTGACTAGCATATCTAAGTTTAATTCTAGATATTTAAAATGGCTGCATATAACTTCTAGGCGAAGTGCCCAGCTTATTTTTGCCATGGTTGTTGCTTAGAAGATTGGTCTTCAGTTGGTCTGGCAGAATCCATTACCTAATATGGTGGCAGCAGCAAATGTTCCCATAAATGCAGTACATGTGAGAATAAGTAATTATTTTTAAAAGCAGTTTTTCTACAACCTCTTTGGCCGAAAAAATGCTTTTAAAAGTAAAAAAAAAAAAAGCCTCTGATGATTGCGCGGCTCAGCTGGGATCATCAGAAGCTTTTAAAAGCATTTTTTCTACAACCTCTTCAGCCGAAGAGGTTGTAGAAAAAAATGACTTTAAAAGGAAAAAAAGCCTCTGCCGATCAGGCAAGTCATCTGGGATTGTTTCACAGATCCCTGCTTTTTTGCCATATGCTAGAACAAAACTCCAACATGTAATGTGAGCCACCTGTATTAGGGAGAATCTGTATAATGCATCTGATTTTGTTGGCCTCCTTACTTCATATGGATATTCAATTACCAAAACAACATTAGAAAATTGTAAAATTGAAACCTAGGTCCCAGGTTGCAAACTGAGATTAAAGATAAATTGTTTTTCTCAGAGATCAGAAATTACCATGAAGCCTTGGCATATCTGAATAGTTGTGTTCTTTCTTTGCCTTCATTTTCTTCCCTGTCCTCCTTCCTTCAGTCATTTAGCAGTTTGAATCCCTAGTCCTGCGTAATGGGGTGAGCACCCATTCCTTGTCCCAGCTTCTGCCAATCTAGCAGTTTGAAAGCACGTCAAAAATGCAAGTAGAAAAATAGGGACCATCTTTGGTGGGAAGGTAACAGCGTTCCGTGTGCCTTTGGCGTTGAGTCATGCTGGCCACATGACCACGGAGACATCTTCGGACAGCGCTGGCTCTTCGGCTTTGAAATGGAGATGAGCACCACCCCCTAGAGTCGGGAACGACTAGCACGTATGTGCGAGGGGAACCTTTACCTTTAACTTATGGTTAGCACACCATACTTTGCTGCTTTTGTTGTCAGTGATACTAGACCCATGACATTTCAGATAGAATAGCTAAGTTCATCTGTTTTCCTAGGCCACTTATTGAACCGTGGTTCATTTAATA